CATCGATTACATAATATGAAACCACATAAGTATCGTGAGACAAAGGGACTAAATTGACTCAAAATCGCGGGTAAATCAGTAGGCTGCGGTAAAAACGATCAGAGGTAGGGATGATCCTAGTTAAGAAAGTTAAGAACAATGATTGAAGAATATCTGTAGGGATACAGTTATTTTTTTAGTTCTCCATAAACGGCTAGGCAGCTATGATTTCACCAAATTACTAGCTTCGACGCTTCAAACGCACCTATATGTGAATTATGTGAATTAAGTGCACTATATGGTATGGCAATACGCTCACCCCCTATTACATGGGACTCATAACATAAATCAACGAAAGAATGTAACCAAAAATTGTATTGTGAACTTGATTGAAAAAGAGTAACCTATGGAGTTTCTTGCTCGTTCTTCTCCATAGGAATCTACACTTTGGAACGAGCAAATAGCTTCACTAGAGGACTGACCTACAGACTGACATTTTTTCTTATTATTCAATTTTTAAATACTTTGCTTTGACGTTCAAAAGTGCCTTCCTGGTCTAATTGAAATAAATGATTTTGACTTTGACTATGACTTTGAAATAGTGAAAAGTGGGTGTTACATTGTACAGTGGCATAATGTGCACCTCTGCTAGAATTTAGACACATTTTGTTGTAAACTTATTGCAGAGGTTTATCTTTGGTAACCAAAGCTTAAAGCAAATACATGTTGTGAAGACTATTCGAAAATACATGATAATGTGACTGATTCTCAGCGCAGATATCCAGTGGTATTTAGGTGACAGCATTAGGTGTTGCTACTAATGTTCTAGTTGAGACCATTGACACCATGCATAATGCATGAGCTCACACCATCTCGCCTCACCGGCAGAATACTCGCGAACTCACTTAAACAAAGGTATACTAGGTTTGTCCCGCGATTTCACTCGGCTGCCTCGTTTGTAAGTGTCACAGTCTATGTGGTTTAATACAAGTCGGGTATCTTATACCTACCACATTGCTTATGGGACTAAAGTTGTGGTTAAACTCAGAATTTTAATTTTCTTTTGCTGAATCTAAAATAGTGTGTTTTCAAACAAAATCACACGTCGACACGTCCATTTTACATAACATCACGCCTTTTATCCCCGAAGGTTTCACTATTTATGTTACGAGTCCCATGTAATAGAGGGTGAGCTTATTGCCATATACCGGGCACAATTCCAGGCTCCGTGCTACTACTGAGCATTTTTTTAAACCCAGTACAATTGTTAGAAAAATTGTTATGTAAAACCAGCTTTGCGACTTACAAAACTATTGTTAATGTTCATGTAAGTTGATTTTAATTGAAACTTGGCTATAGTAACAATATTTACAGCATATATTTGAAAAACATAATATAGGAACACAATCTATCATGTCCTATGAGCTTCAACCAATAGCAATCACGTTGAAATAAACAGCGAGACAACAAAAGGTATAATTAATTCTGGGTAAAGAAACCGAGAGTTCAATTAAAGGGAGTGATATTAATATACAGTTCGCCTACTTTCCATCCTGTACAAGTAGGAATTATAAGTTAACTTAACGGAGAGAAATACCAAGGGAACTTGCTTGTCGGATATGCTCGTAATTTACAACCAGCACCTGTTATTATGATAATTTAATTACCAGACCAAGGTGCATACGCCTAATAAAATATATCTTCATTTAATTTATTAGCAGTACCATTGGATGTTGGGTGCCATTAGACATTATCCCGTTTGCTAAGAGAACTTTCCTTGAGTCGGTGCAGGTCGACAGTCTTGAATAGATTCGGTCGAATTTCAGTGTCGTTTACGTATACTCACGCCTATATACTGAACTGAAAGACTACTCAGTTTTAAGTTGTAGGTAGGTACCTACTCAAATATCGTGCCATCTGTGTCATTTTACAGAGAATAGTCTAGATGCCTAATTTTTATTTTGATGTCCGTCTGGTTGATTATTTTAAATCATTAGACACGTATTTTTTATTTTCTTACAGAAACGAATACTTTCGACGATATATTGATTTGAAATGTCGCCCGACGTCACTTCTATGTACATTTTATACGTACAAATGACGTTTGACTCCCCTAAACTTTGATTCGTTTTATCTAAGTATTATTTTATTATGCAACAAAATAAAAAATACGTGTCTAATATTTTTTGAATACCTAACTTACGGACTAATTATATTTTTAATTTTCATACCCTGCCATCATCACAATTTGTAGTGACAGAACTATACTTACCCGCGACTTAAAAGTGAGTTGCGTTTCAGTATTCAGGCTACAACTAGTGTCTTACATTTATTTTTATGGCATAAGCCGGTAAACGAGCAGACGGATCACCTGATGGTAAGCAATCGGCGTCGCCCATGGACACCTGGAACACCAGAGGCGTTACAAGTGCGTTACCGGCTTTTTGGAGATTAAGAGTTTGAGGATCGTTGGGGATACAGGGATTGGGGAGATTGGGGAAGGGGAGGGTAATTGGGCCTCATGATGTAATGATTTATCGTAAATGATTGTGTGAAAATTAGGACGACGACTGAACGTTTTCCCTAATAATCCATGATAAGCGATACTGCTTGAAGAATTTCTTTGTCCGTGTAGGCTAGGTACTATCTGTGTTATCTCGTATTTAAAGTTTTCCACTTTACCTTCAGTTTAATAGGTATGTCCTTACCAAACAAAAACGGAAAGATAATCTTCACAAATACAAGCGAAACGGTAATTGTAATCTCAAGTGTACATTGCATACCTATGCACTGAATCCTTGCGTCAACACCACTACTGGCCGAAGATAATAATTAAGTACTAATTTTCTGTGATTTTAATTTAGTAAAGCTACTCTTATACATAAGATATATCTTTTTTATAGAATAGAAGGCAAACGAGCAGACGGATCGCCTGATGGTAAGCGAATGATCGCTTGATGTGAGTGTGCTTGATGTGCTCGCGCATGCGGGTGTCCATGAGGACACCCGCAACACCAGAGAAGTCACAGGTGCGTTGCCGGCCTGAACAAGACTATTTAGTAACGAGTCCTCTTATTATCTAATAAAAGATCTTCTTCTCATAATCAAATGAGTCATCTCTTTCATTTTCATTAAATTGACTTTGGGGCTATGCAGACGTCGACAATCAGGTTTTAGATTTAAAATTAAAGCCAAATTAATTCTTTCAACTATAGCTACTCTTCATTTTGATTCAGAATACTTTCTTATGTCACCATTTCAATTATATTAAGTGGGACCACTTCACTAGGTTATTTGCAAACATCGCGAGCGTTTTCTCTAAACCTCTTAACTACGTAGATCATAATCTTGTTGTAAGATAATAACAAAGTCCGATTATAATTTACAATGCAAATTGTTAGTTCCCGTGGCGATCCATGTAATAAATCATCTTTCATATCTGCATGATCAGCGTCTCTTGGCACAACCCCATGGCATCAGGCAACTTTCTAGAAACATCTGCGAGTGTCTTCGAGGAAATTCTTTAGTTGTGAAACTGTGGGTCCCTTAGGTAGGGCGGAAACTTGGACACTTTTGAGTCTGGTATCAGATATCATCATCGACAAAATCATCCAATCCCTGGCGCACACGTGTACAGTTGCTTCCATTTTTAAAACATAACCATGATGACTATTCTTTTTTTTTTTGAAGGGGGAAAATCATGTTCATATCTGTGACTGGAAACAAAAAGTGTCTACGTTTGCGCAGCGCCTTAAGGCCCGTATCACATATTCTGTATACCCAATATCAACCAGAATTTGAATATACCTTTTTCATATAAACTGTCAGATTATCGGGTGCTTATATGAGCGTGGTGAAACAGGCCCTTACTCGTATAGACAGTGGTGTTGGTGAAACGTTTCGACCCGCCTGACTGGCTTTCGTTTCGTCTCAAGTGTGGGACATGGGGACATGTCTTTACTAGTCAACTCATGGAAATCTAGATGTGTACTGTTTTCTTCATCTATCTGTGTATTGTTTAGTTATGTATCGTTAGTTGAATTGTTATTGTTTAATAGTTTACCAGTTATTTGCGTTGTTTTTGAATAGAATTTATTGGAGCTGGTTCTTAGATATAACGTAGCATTCGAACTTAGGTAATGTAATGACGTAAAGCTATGCCAGTACGTAAAAAGTTGCTGGGGCTCCGGTTCAAAGTGCAGGAATAGGAACGGGGTGGTTTTTAGTCAGTAAGAGTCTGACACTCCCTCCCGTCTCAAGAGAACTCATCGGATGATTTTCCCCCTTATTAAAAAAAATCCCATAGGAATGGACAGAATAGCCGGGGTAGGGCAAAATGTTAATATTAAAATAACTGTCGGGTACTTTACCAGAAGCCGTGATAAAATTGAAAATGTCTTTGTGACCTGCGGACGACCCCTCGTCCAATGAAGCAATCAGTGTTGACAAAATCGATTAACTCGATATTTAAAAAGTACCAGTCAATAAAGACACTACGTCATTAATGTCAACAAACAGTACACTCCTTGAACATATTACATGGACATACAATTATTAAAGTGGATGAATTCAAGAAATACAAGTGTTCACAAGTATCACTAGTATGATAAAAACACTAATCTAGAGAGCTAAGCCAAGAAATCAACGCTTCATTTGAAACAAAGGCTGTAATTAAATTTCATATCCAAGCTATGTGAGATGCTGCATTGCCGGGGAATCGAACCCGCGACCTTGATCTCTAGTGGCGCGAAACTATAATCGATGAAGCGGCAATTGCTCTTATAACTAGGAACGATTAATCGTGTTTTCATCGTTAAATGATTACCTACTTGTAAGGTAAAGAAAGTTTTGCTAAATGGGCCCTACAAATTAAATATTATAATAAGATCAATAAGTACATAATCCAGTATTCTATCCTTGTTTTAATTACCACAACGCTTCCATTTAATTCCTTTAATTTCCTCACATAATTACATTAAAAAATAATTATTAAATCCTTAAAACAATAAATAAATACTCACATTACTTTAACGAGACAAATCCAATATTCAATAAAGAATCCAACCACAATACACTTAAAGTTCAGTTCACAGTGCACAGTTAGATAATGTACATAAATTATTAATTACAAAACAATTAGTCGGTCGGCGGTAGTACGCGGCAATGCGCGTGCTTCTTGCGCGGGAGTCGACTCACGAGTAGCGCCGAGCTTACGGCCCGCCCGAGCCACCGCGACTCGAGAAAGCTTTTGGACGATATCATGCACTACTGAAGAATTTATCCTACAACACAGTGACTGCATCAAACCAATGATATCATTTTCATTGTTTACACAATTCGGCACCAGTATTGTATTCACATTATTGTTCAAATATATTTCAATTGTATGTCGTGTCATGAGTCATGTCAAAATCATGATTGTTATGATAACACCTAACCTTTTCACCACAATGAACAAAGAACAGATGTGCACTGAAATCAATATTAGGATGATGCCTTAAATCGTGGCACAATGCTCTATTGCTGACAGACTCAGGTACAGCACCTTATTACTTATCTAACAATTCAATATGCACTTAAACAATTCTATACTTTATTCACTAAGCATTTGCTGTCCGATCTGGCTGATTCAAGATGATTTCGTAATTTTCTACAAAACAGCTGACCGACACGCGACTAGATCTTGCTGAACTTACGAAATTATCGAAAACGTCAAGAGAGAAATTTGTCAGTCACCAGTTTATTGTCTAAGGTTTATTGGAATTTTAATTTATTACAATATGATAAAATCATGATATTATATATACAGATGTTTCTTGTATCGGAAAAATGTATATGATATTTTTTTTACTACCCCGCACTGTTTACTGATGAAAAAGTCTTTTTTTCCCTGCCTCATAGCAATCTGTCCAGAGACAATAAGCCATGTCTCTGTTTTGGTCTGCGACTTATTATGGGGGTAGAGTGCTCCTACTGGGTGGTTAATCCCATCTGGGAGCTCTGTCTTTCAAGTAGAGAATCTTATTGATGAAAAATTAACAAAAACTTTTCTACTAATTATAATAATAATGTAATCCATTGACATTACGTTTATTTACTATGTTTTATAAATTGCTACGGCATACGAGCATGACACACGGACAATGTTTACACAAACATATTGACATTAGTAGTCCTCACACAAACATGTTGTGTATGTACAACACAATGTCACACACATGCACACAAGAACGTGTACGTGTCGCAGTAGTGTAGTATGACAACACAGTGCACGACTGCTGACTGAACGTATAAGCATTTATATGTTCTAATGAAAATAACAATAGACCGCTTCATTGGTCGACTATTCGTAGTATCGTTATGATATGATTGGTATGTACGTAAAGTATTTGGTTTCATCAACTTCATAATTATTATTGTTCATCTGATCAAAAGTACGAGTTCAATATGTATAGGACAAGACTGGAAGACAAAAAATAATATAGTTTTATAATTTAATTCTCTTTTATAATTTAAACTCCTGACATACAACATAACACCATCCTCTATCGACAGGTGGTCTCGCTTCCGCGCCGGTTTCCCATGCGTCTGCGCATGATTTACTCTCTGATGGAGCCATCCCGGTGTCAGTTCGATTACCGAGTCGGAACGCTTCTCAAAATGACTAGTAGTTATATCCCATTTGTTTGCTGGGAACAAAAGTACGTCGTGATTGCTTAACAATGGGACGTCTTAATGCCTGGTGCCTGAACCAACGTAATATTCATAGCATTCGATCCCATGGGAAGTACCTAGAGGAAATATTTCAAACGGAACATGTTTCATAAACATGACCCTTATAATAGAACAAATACTGTTCAGCTGGTATTGTTAGGGACAGCGAGACAGGACGAAAGTATGGGAAATGAACAATTTCATACAATAACATCTGATGTAAACATCCATTGGATGCCTAGACGTTACCAGGAGTAGTTATGATACTCAGCTACCCACACTCGTCTACTGTGATTAGTCCCATTGTCACCAGCTCATAATAATACCTGTAAGAAGCTAATAACACTGAACCTCATTTCAGTGATAGCAAGCCTCCTTATAACATGACTAATAAATGAAATCGCTAGCTAAATGACGAAGATGTATGAAGGTATCTCAATAAAATATACACACAAATATACACTGCTTATAGCTAAATCACTTGGTCATTTGTGTTCTATTCCAGGCTTTTTCTTGGCACCGCTTCATATAGACAAATATGACCTACAACAGTAAACATAACAATTAGCTAAAAATTTATAACTAGCTCCTGCCCGCGACTTCGTACGCGCAATCTCATTTTACCTGTTCCCGTGGGATTATTGGGAAATCTTTGGATATAAAGTATCCTATATTCGTCTCCTGGTTTTAAAGTTCCGACAAATTCTTAGCTGAACTGATTTAGCTATTCCTGAATTATAAATAGTGTAACTAACACGACTTTCTTTTTAATTATTATATATAAATACAAGCTTCTGCCCACGACTTCGTACGCGCAATCCCGTTTTTCCCGTTCCCGTAAGTGATTTTCGGTAAAAAGTAAAAAAAAGTATTGGATAAAAAGTCTCCTATGTCCGTCTCCTAGTTCTAAGCCGTATCCTCACCAATTTTCAGCTGAACCGATTTAGCTATTTAGCTGTTCTGATTAACACGACTTTCTTTTATATATAGATTGTTACATTATAGAAACTGATCCTTCCAAATTCGTTTAATATATTCATATCCTTGACTTCCATCGCTTGTAATTTCATATTCACCACAAAACCTGTACCATATTATTAGCAACAATAACAAAAATACTCAACCTCAATATCTGGGAGTAAACGAGGCGTGAAATCTTAATGTTATATAACAATGTAATTATATCGACCTCACTGCCTCTCTCCAAGGTCACTTTACATTGCCACTAATTAATTACTACGTGTTAAGTGTTTACACATCAACACTACGCTTCCTTGATCCGGTGGTAAAGTATAAAAACTTTGTAATTATACTCATATCAAACTCAAACTCAAACTCAAATGCATTTATTTCAATTAAACCATAATTTGGTACTTTTGAAACGTCAACAAATATGAAATAAATAATAGTCTGTCAGTCTGTCCGTCAGTGAAGCTAGGCGCTCCTTCCAAAATGTCGAACGAGCAAGAAACTCCATTCGTTACTCTTTAAAAAAAGAAGTCTGTTTTACATTGCTCTGATACATATTCCAATATTGTACACACATGTGAGAATAATGTAAAGACATACCTGACGCAACATACAAATAACAGAACGTACCAAAATAAAAAACAAACTCCAACAAAACAAAATATCTATTTTACTCACGCTTGGGGAGGAAGAAAGGGACTGTCAGACTCTTATGCCTCTTTCGCACTATGTTAGTAAAGTACCGAGTATTTATAAATACTCTCGCTTCAATTTTCGGACAGAAGCGAAGGGGATATACTAAACACTCGCTGCTTGACTAAAATACTAGCATAGTACGAATGAGGCATCACTGACTAAAACCCACCCTAGTTTCCCGTCTCACACGTGGGTACGAGGGTACGGGAAACGAAATTCTTCTGCAGAATTATACTCATATCTTGATCAGATAGTAAGTGTAGGCTTTTAAGTACTTGTTCTAAACAAGGACATGTGAATAGTAACATTGTCATCATCCGCCGAAATGTAGGTTCTGTTATTCCGAAACAGTAAGGCAACCATAATAAAGAAAACCATTTCAAGAATGGTTTCTAGTTCTGATAGTACTACAGACATATCAATGGCTGACTGGTACAAAATATCTAAATATAGGTCTAGGTACAATAACAACTGCTAATGACTTCTTTAACCCGTGAACCACTATTAAACCCCTTCCATTGATTAATCCAAACACGACTTCCTTCAAGACTGCCTCATTGGCCGAGTAGTCGCAAATGGGACTGCCGGGCAAGGGGTCTCGGGTTCGATTCCCGGGTTGGGCAACGTATTACTGGGTTTTAAAAAAAATCTCAGTTGTAGCACGGAGTCTGGAATTGTGCCCGGTATATGGCAATACTCACCCCCTATTACATGGGACTCATAACATAAATAGTGAAACGTGGGTGTTACATTATACAGTACCTAACATTAAGTGCCATAATGTGCACCCGCCTACCCTTTAGGGGAAGAAAGGCGTGGTGTTATGTTGTTGTTGACTTCCTTAAATCCTGCGCGTTCGGCGCTGTGATTGGCCGTCTCCAATTAATCAACCAATCAGAGCGAGGAACGCGGTCTCGTTTCGATTACTCTAAATGTAAAACAAACTCGTACAAAAGCCTCTGAAACATCATCGGATCCTTCTCTATTCCATATCTATAACACCTGATCAATAGTTTGGATCTCCCACGATGACTCATTCAACATTCTACTTCCAAGTAAGCAGGCTGCCTCCAGCACATCGCGATACAAAGCTAACTAAACGCGAATCTAATGTGAATATAAGAGCCGTATTAAAGTGAGATTACACGCAGGCGCAGTGTGCTGTGCGATAATGTTGCGTGAACTTACATCGTCGGATACTCTGTAGGAGTTCGCTTATGTAGGTGTGTATATCATAGGATTGAAATTGGGGAGACGAAGTAATAGTAGGTGTACTGAAATGTAATATTCTGTCATGGACAGTTGTAAAAATAGAGGATATAATATACAGGGTGTTTGGTGCATCGTATGTCAAATTGAAATAGTGAATAAAAAAGTACTTTTTAGTAAAATAACAAAACGTTGATAAAAAATCCATGCATAAGAGATATTAAGGGGCGTAAAGGGCTAGCAGATGACCCCTTCAGTCGACCATTTCAATTTAGCACACGATGCACCAAATACCTGTAGATCAGTCAGTAGGGTATAAATCTGGGTGTACGGAACAGAATTATGTCCCTTCCAAAAGTATTAGATGTTATAAGTGGCGTTTACTATTGTATTTTATTTTCCGAACTTGTAACTGTTAGTTAGCACGTGTTTTCTCCATTTGTAGCTATTTCCCTTCTTTTTTCCGAGGCTCTTTTCAACTTAAATTGTAATCTACATGAAATACGAATTAATGTTTAACCATTTCCCAGGTCGTATCCAAACTAATTTTACTTGATAAGTCGGAAATGATTGACTAAGAAATCCAAGAAAATCTTAA